TTTCATCAGTGGAGTGCTTGCCGAACGAGCGAATATACCGAGGATTTGTCTAAAATCATTCCTTTTAGGATACAACGGATTGACTAGATGCTGGCTCAGTCCACCACTCGTCGTTTTAGATGCAGGAGCACCCAATGAAGTGGTAGCTGTTATTGATAAGGTTAAAACTGGAATGGCAACATGCAATGAAACCGATTATCACCAATAAGCTCGTTCGAGTTGATCTCCTCATTCAGCTTACAACTTCCTGTTCCAAGAACCAAATGGGCCTTGATTAATGCTACTTCGACAGCACGAATTGTTTGTTCCCGAGCTGCAATCGAATTATGAACCTCTTCAGTACAACGAAATCAAAATAATCTATGTAAATGCGTGTTTATAGTATAGAATCAAAATATTATCGAATCAAAAAAAGGAATGCGCATTCAGAAATATCCGAATCATCTTACTGATAAAATGAGTTATGCCATGAATAATAATCTCCACAACTGTGCAAATCTTTCACAAAATCCGTTTGTTTCAGACTGATGGGACTCTGTTAAATTGAGTAACCTAGCAATCGATAGGACGAGGTTTCTGTTAACGGTACCATTCGTAGGTTAGCCATCTGAGTGAGAAGATAAGACAAATCAATTTGCAGAAGCTGGGAACCAAACATTCTGAAATTGCTAATCAGAAGACCGTGAAATGAAAAGATCAATAACCTCTGTAGCCAACCAGGAAAAAATTCCAGAGATCAAAAAGATGGTTTGAAAAGTTTGAAAAATTTCCAGACTTATAATGATGTCCGACGTATATGAAAGGACAAGAGATTCGGTTCGTTGACTCGGAATCGAAATGTCGTTAAATTTCCAAGATATCATTCAAATCCATCTAATTTTTACTTTCATGTTGAGCAAACTACTCCCGCTTCCACTCTTCTCACTCCTTTCTCATTCACTTTCAACTGAAAAATGTTTCACTCATTATTATGAACAGGTTTCTATTAATGAGATGACATTCTAATCGACTTTCGTTACACACGTACACTTATCGGTACATTTTATTGTCCATGATGGTCCAAGAGGACATCATTTTGATGAACGTATCATCTAATGAAGGAGGAAGAAAAATCTTTATAATCACTGAGTTGCGGAAAATAAAATATTTTCTTTTTTGTTCTTGAGATCGGAGAAAGGCACAGAGTCACAAGATTTCAGATCATCCGCTAACCTGTTCATAATGTTGTGAAGTTGACACCGGGCCTGCCAGCTCTTTTGAAGATATGCTTATTCCTCATCGTCTCGAAAGCTGTTTCCAATTTCAGATTTCTATCGAACAAAATTTATCGATTTGAAACAAACAACGGAACGCACAATTAACACTTGCACACAAAAACAAATTGCATAAAGCACTCAATTGATTAATGTATGATTCTTGACATGGGGCGTGGGACATTGAAATGAATTAGAGTGCGTAGGGCTAGAAATGTGATTGGCGAATGACCAGACAAGGCATGCATATGGCAGCGGAGAATTGATACAACAGGTCTCGCTATAACTCGAACAGGCAAAGGTTAAAAGGCAATTGGAACAGGTTTACGCATGACGAGTGAAGGTTGAGGTTGCTGGCTGATGCACTGTTGACTGCAAGTGGGCATACACACTGAAACGCCCATCTTCGATTGCGATACAGCATGAACAGGTAGAGGTTGAGGAACAACCGGAGTAGGCATAGGTTGAGGAAGAACGGGAGTAGCACCTCTGGTGCCGCTTACCTACGGCGACTAGCCATGCCCACAAATTACGGTAGTATCCACATTGCACTTATTCTTGATTTCAATTGGCCATTTCCATATTCTCAAGGCGTTGCTCTCCTCAGGTTTTCCCTGAAGCATGATGATTATTTTCACACCATCGCATTTACCAGATGCTACCGTACGCTCAGCTTTGCTCGGCAACATCTGAAGTTCTTTGCACCATTCGATCGAGAGGAATCTCTACATTAAGAAAAACATTTATATGTTGGCCAATTCTGCTTTCTTGGGCAGATATGGCCATTTTCATGAAGCGCAATTAGCAAC